TTCTTTTTTTTTTTTTTAAATATATTTTATTGACTTTTTACAGAGAGGAAGAGAGAGGGATAGAGAGCTAGAAACGTCAATGAGAGAGAAACATCGACCAGCTGCCTCCTGCACACCCCCTACCAAGGATGTGCCTGCAACCAATGTACATGCCCTTGACCGGAATCGAACCTGGGACCTTTCAGTCCGCAGACCGACACTCTATCCACTGAGCCAAACCGGCTCTTTTCACTTTCTTGACAGTGATCTTTGGAGCTCAAAAGTTTTTAATTTTGATGAAGTCAATTTAATATGTTTTTTCTTTCATTGCCTGTGATTTTGGTATCAGATCTAAGAAAGCATTGCCTAATTCAAGGTCATGTTTTCTTCTATGAATTTTATAGTTGTAGCTCTTACATTAGGTTTTTGATCCATTTTTAATTCATTTTTTTGTACACAATGTGAGCCAGTAAATTCATTTTTTTGCCTGTGGATATCCAGTTGTCTCAGCATCCCTTATTGAAGAGACTGTTTTACTCTGTTGTCTTGTCTTGGCTCCCTTGTCCACAATCAATTGACTATAAATATATGGCTTATATCTGGTCTCTCAGATCAATGGATCTATGTCTATCTTTATGGAAGTATCACAGAGTCTTGATTACTATAGTGTTGTTGTAAATTGTGAATTCAGGAGTGAAAGTCCTCCAACTTTGTTTTAGTTTTATTTTTCAAGATTTTCTTTTCTTTTTTTGGCTATTCTGGGTCATTTGTATTTCCATAAGAATTTGAGGATCAGCCTGTCACTTTCTGCAGAAAAGCCAGTGGAGATTTTGATAGGGATTGCATTAACTCTGTAGATAAATTTGAGGAGTGTTGCCATCTTATCTTTGTGTGTGTGTGTGTGTGTGTGTGTTTATTGAGTATAAATTGAGCTCATGAAAAACGTATTATTTTGAGTCCTGACTTAATACTCTTAATATTCTGTCACAGGCATTTCCCTGTGTTATGGAAGATGCAAGCACCATTTCAGGGCAATGTAGCATTTCATTGTTTGGCTGTACCACACGGGATTATAAACTCTCAGTTGTTGGGTAATCTGTCCAGGAAGGTACTTTGTTCTGGGTTCCTTGTGGTGCAGGTCTTTTCCTACAGGCACCAGTGAACACTGGGAGGACTGGTGGTTCACAGAACAGCAGCAGAATATTAGTGTAACATTGGTCAGCAGGTGGGGGAATGGGGTTATCTGGAGAAGCCCACATCCTGGTTCATAGAGTGTTGACCTGCCTCCAAGAAAAACGAATACAGTGGGCATGTACCAGCCCTTAAATGCTCTGCCTAGAAATGAGATGTGCCACTTCTACTCCTGATTCTTTAGCTAGAGCAAGCCACACAGGCATGCCTAACTTCATAGGACGGCAGAAATTTGCCTGGATGGAGTGTCAGTAAATATAGTAATATCTACTCTACCCTTGCTACCGGTACCTCATGCTTATACATTCTGTTCCATTAAACCAACGAAAGCAAAGTGCTGGTGGCAGTCCTTTAAGCTGGTTTCATTATCATCTAATGGGCTGAGATCCTTGGTTTGAAAAACATTGCTCTATCGACTCTCTCCTGCCCATGTCTCATGGACCATGTGGCACACCCTAGGCAGAGCTGATTGGCCCGGGCATGGGACACCTGACCAAAGTTGGCCAATGAAGCTTCCCTCCTGGGAACTGGAATTGGGCCATTCAGCAGTTAACAGTGGCAAGTGAGTGAGAGGCAGAGTAGGAAGAGGGTCAGAGTGAGAGCCAGATGCAAGCCAACGTGATGGAAGAGCAGAAAAGGCCCGAGTAAGCAGAGAGAGAGTTGGTCCACAGAGACGATGGAGCAGCCGCACCGAGAGCAGTGCAGCCGGGAGAACGGGCAGCCCCGGAGGGAGAGGTGGAGAGAGAGCGCGTCCGTCTGAGAGGCCGATGGCTTCCCCGATCCCGGCGCCAGCACCAGGGCGTCCTTCCTGCGCACTCTTCCCGTGAGATTTCTGTCTCCTTATCCTCCCCCTCCTCCTTTTCCAGGGCTGCCCTCGGTGGGTTTCTGTTCCTGGTCTCCAGGGAGCCTCAATCAGCTACAGCACCGCTGGTGCTTTCTGTGTGGGTCCTGGCTGTGACTCTGAGAACCAGGCTTGTGGGACAGAGACGGGACTCGGGGTGGAGGTGGGGGTGTGGGTAAGCCAGACGCAGCCATCCCACAGTCTGGAAGTTTGGCTCTGATCACAGTCTTGGCCGTTGGTGTTCGCTCCTCAAAGCCGACAGGCAGGAAGAAGCCTTCTGTGTGGTGCTGCGCATGTGGGGGCCCCTTGGCCTGGAAGCACCCCCCACAGGGCCCTCTGCTGACAGCACTGGGGTCAGGAAGCTGGCGGAGTTGCTGCAGGGAGGGTTTGGTTGTGTGATGGGGTGGAAACGCAGCCACAGTTTGCCTGCCTGACCCTCCTTGTTTTCACCTGGGAAATGGGATTGTTGAAGGATGGGCAGTGTGTTTGGAAGAACACTTGGAGACATGACCGGCCCATCACATGCTCTCCGGTCATGGGCAGCTGCTGCTGCTGCTGTTGGAGGAAACCATCAGCAGCCCAGCTCCCTGAGGCGGTGGCCTGAGGGGCTGACAGAGCTAGTGACAGAGCACTCCCCGCCACTGGCCATGCTGCCTGCCTCTCGCCCTCACTCTCCTCACCTTCGCTGGCCCTTTCCTTTCTTCCCCTCTCCTCTCTTGCCTTTATGTCCCCTCTTTTCTCTCTGGGCGGGATAAAAGCACCCGCTGTAGAAAGCAGCAGGGTTGAATGGAAGGACCCAGCTTCTAGAGGCAGACAGCAGAATTGGGTCTGAATCCCGACAGAGCCCCTGGCTTGCTGTGGGCTCCTGGGCAAGTTACTCCATCTCTCTGAACCCCTCGTTTATCGTCTATAAAATAGAGGTTATATTGCGCATTTTACAGTGTTGTCAGGAGAAACAGTTAACCAAGTACTTAGCAAATTCGAGTTCCTTCCTAACTCCCTTCCTCCCTTTTTCATCACCTCAGCCCGGCCCTCAGCCCCCTCCTGTGCCCAGGATGTGTCACTGTCCCTCTGAGGGACATCTGGTCCCCGCTGCAGGTCCAGCCTAACTTGGGAGCTGCTAGTTCAAACTATGTGATCTGAAAAAAAAATTTTTTTTTTTTTTTATCACGTTAGCAGTTATTACACTCCAGCTGACTGTGGCATCTTCACACTCCAAATACTGATAAATATTTATGAGGAGGAGAAGAGCTCAGAACTCCTAGGGGAGGTGGGGGAGGAATGTGCCAGGCCCTTCATTGCAAGCCAAACTCAGACTCATCTGTGGTCCCTTGAGCCCCAGGCTAAGGGGAAGGTGTGCGGGGGGTGGGGCTATGGAGATAACACAGAGCCCCCATTTCACTTCCCTTTTTGGAGGAATGACTGTGCTGTGACCTGGTGGCCTCACCCCGCCTGGCCCTGGGTGCCTGCTGGGTCTCCTGCTGCTGGGGAGGGCGTGGGCTGTGCCATCCCTCTCGGCTGTGTGCGGGCCTGCTCCATGGCCCCGAGACCGCTGCCTCTCTCTCTGCTTCTGACTGTTCCTCTCTCCCTCTTTCTGTTTGTTTTTTCATTTCTAATTCTATCCTTTAAAAGAAATCCTCACCCAAGGATAATTTTCCATTGACTTTTTAAAAAAATATATATAAATAGTGGAGGGGAGAGTGGGAGAGAGAGAAACATCGATGCGAGACAGACACTTCGATTGGTTGCCTCCTGCATGGAGGTTGCAACTGAGGCCTGTGCCCTGGACTGGAATCGAACCGGGGACCCTTCAGCCAATAAGCTGATGCTCTTATGCACTGAGCCAAACCGGCGAGGGCTCTAATTCCATTTTTATTTTCACACCTGCCAGGCCATGTCTCCCTCCCGCCCTCTGCCTCCTCCATCATGTTCTCCTACCTCCCGGGTCTCTGTCTCTATCTTTCTCTACTTTTTTTTTTTTTCTCTCTCCCTCCCAACATTACTCTGAGCATTCCTGGGGCTCCATGATGGGGGGCGGGTGAGGGGGCTCAGGCTCCCACACCCGGCTGCGGGGCGGAGGGCAGGGGAGCTGCCGCAGACCGCAGCGTGCTCCGGGAGGCGGAGTGAGCACTAGGCGGAGTCCGGGGCCAGGCTCTGCTGGGTGGCCAGGGGCACATCCCTCCCCTTTCCTGGGCCTCAGTTTCTCGGCTAATTCCTTCACTCGTTCATCCGTTCACCCACTCAACTAATACGTATTGGGTCCTTGCCACCTGCCATTCATACAGCACATTTATTCCACACCCACTGGGTGACTCCTCTAGGCGCGCGGGACACGTCAGGGAAGAAGGGTTGGAAAGATGCCAGCCCTGGTGGAGCTGACAGGTTAGCAGAGTGGACAGGCACCCATGTGACCAGCGGTTAGGGGGCAGGGCGACATGAGAGCTGTGGAGGAAGGAAAGGGAGAGGGAGAGAAGGAGCACAGGGCAGAGACCCGCCCTTCAGGCTGTGGGGGAGCGTGCCCCCGGGGAGGGGGCTGCCGGAGCGAGGCAGGAACCTTGTGTGTTGGAGGAACTGCCAGGAGGCCCTGTGGCTGAGGGAGGGAGGGAGAAAAGTGTGAGTCGATGCTGGGAGACACGGCAGACACGAAGGAAGCAGGGCAGACGCTAGGACGAGACCTGTCCTCTGCGTGACCTGGGCGGAGTGTGGGCGGGTGAGCGGCGTGGTCTGACGTACACCTGCTGGTTGAAGGACAGACTGAGGGGCCCTGGCCAGAGCCCGGAGAGCTATCCTGGCAACAACAGTGGCTTGGGTGGGGGTGGAGGTGGGGGTGGGTAGGTGGGAAAGTGGAGACGGTGAGGTCCTGCTATGCTGGGCACTGTTCTGCTCTCAAGGCTGAGACGGTGCCAGGAAAACCACGCCAGGCCCCTCGTCCTGGGCCCTGCAGGGCCTTCCCCTGGGTGGGCCGTGCTGACCCTCTTTCTCTCCGCAGGGTGTTCAAGAAGGCGAGCCCCAATGGGAAGGTGAGTCTGCACCCCGAGCTCTCACCCTCCCTGATCCCGAGCTCTCACCCTCCCTGACCCCGAGCTCTCACCCTCCCTTGGGCATGGCTACTGACCACGCAGGACCTGCACACCCTCCCAGGAGGCCCTTAGGAGCCTTCGCCACGGGGGGTGGGGGGCGGGTAAGGGAGAGGGAGAGGGATCTCCTCCGGAGCCTTCCTGTCTGGGGGGTTGGGGTGGTACAACTCTCCTGGACTTCCAGGAGCCCCTGGGGTGGGGAGACGCAGCCCACCACAGAGAGACTCCAGCGTGGGTGCAGCCGCTGGAGTAAGTCCAAGGGCCTCAGGGCGCTGCTTCCCGGGTGTGAGCAGCGGCCTGGAGCCTCTCTGCTGAACCGCGGTGCCATCCCGGCCACGGAGGCAGCTTCCCGCGCCTGCCCTGCTTTCCTTCTCCTCGCAGCTCCCGGCTCTGTCTCTGTCCCGCTTTCCTCTCTGTTCAGCAGACAGATATTACCAACATCATTCATGCGAGGGGGTGGGGGCTGGGGAGGGCGTATGGAGATAAATGAGGCACAGCCCGAGAGCCACCCACAGCCAGAGGGGGGTAGGCAGACATGACAAGTGATCATTTCCATTTAAAGGGGCAGAGAGCAGGGAAAGGGCTGTGCAGGGGCTGCAGGACCCAGCCCCGGGGCCAGGGACAGCGCCCCCCGGAGGTGTGCTTTCGGGGCACGGCAGGGTGTGCAGAGAGCATCTGGGCACGCACGTGCATCACAGGGCGTGTGGGGGGACCGTGAGTGCACAGGAGGAGGCCGAGGGAGCAGGAGCTGAGGCGGGGAGGCTGCAGGGCTGGGTCCCGGGGAGCCGGGCGGCAGGCTCAGTGGCTGGGACTCCGCCTGGGCTGGCGAGTGGCACCTGGGGTGCTGGCGCAGCAGACACCCCCAGGCACCTTTCCTGCTGAGCCAGGATTCCATCCCGGATCCTGCCTCAGCCCAGGCCCCCTCCCCGCCTTCCACGGCGCTCCTACCCATCGATCACTGTTGGCATTTGGATGAAACCCATTTGTCATCTTACCTCTGGGCACGGAGGAGCCATTAAAGGGTTTTCAGATGGGAATGGCATCGGCAGGTTAGCGTTTTAGGAGAGCCCGGCTGGCTAAGGGGGGTGTGCGGCTGCAGGCAGCGGACCGTGGAGAGGCCGGTGCCCGGTCCGGGCAGGAGTGGCTGTGGGAACAGAGAGGAGGGTGCCCTGTGAGGTACAGGAGCAGGAAGGGGTGGTGGAGGAGCAGGAAGTGTCTAGGATGACCCTCGGGATTCTAGCCCGCGGTTTTCCCCACCGCCTGGGGTACCAGCGGCGGGTCCCTCGCTGCTCCAGCACCCCGCCAGACTGTGTGGGACTCAGTGTTCAGAGGTCACACCAGGATCCCTGCTCCGAGTTTCCCTGGCCTCTTCGGGATGCGCCCAGGACTCCGGCTTAGCAGACCTCTGCTGGGGTGCTGGGCGAGGTCTCTCCAGAGCTCAGGGTCCCCACCCGTGAAAGGGAAACAATGGCAACGTCTTCGTAGGGGTCCGGGATGAGTGGGTGCTTCCAAACCCGCACCAGGTTTGCTGTTGTTGGAACGGGGGCTGGGGCTCACGCGCGAGGCCAGGCAGGGTTTCCGTGCGGGTTGGGGGTGGGCCCAGGCATTGCACGGGCAGCTCCCAAGGTCTTCTCCGGGGCGAGGGAGGGCCAGTGGCTTCTCGGGAGCGTGTTCTCGGGCCCGCGGCCGCTCCCCTAACCTGTGCCTCTCCTCCCCAGCTCACCGTCTACCTGGGGAAGCGGGACTTTGTGGATCACATCGACTTCGTGGACCCCGTGGGTGAGTCCCTGGGGGCCAGGGAGGCAGGCGCTGGGGGCGGGGGCGATGGGGGGTCGGCTGGCCAGGCCCCTTCCAGAGAAGTGTGTGTGTGTTCCCGCAGCCCAGACCTCTGGGCCAGGAATGGGTGTGAGAAGCTTCCCGCATCTGTCGGGAAACATTGACGGAGCAGCTACTTTCCCCTTAGCTGAGGGCCACGTGGGAGGGACTGAGGTGAGGCGCAGGGAAGGCGTCCTGATGATAACGCAGGATGAGGACTTCTGCCAGACACCAGGGGGTGCCACTGTTATTACCCCAGCTTTACAGAGAGGGAGACGCCGCCCAGAGAGGTTAAGTGACTTGCTCCAGGTCACGGAGCTTGTAGGTCAAGGGTCCTAGACTCAAACCCAACACACTGACTCTATGGGAAACCTTTGCTCTGCTGCCCCCTGGTGGCGAGGGCAGGGAGACCGTGGGGCTTCCGAAACGGAGACGGTTCTCACGGGTCCTCCCAGAGCCTGAGACACCTTCTTCCAACATCCTGTTCTCCATCAGGGCTTCTCTACCTCTGCACGCGTGACATTTGGGGTTGCCAAGGCTGTCCTGGGCACTGGAGGATATTTATGACTATCCCTGGCCTCTACTCATGGCCTCTACGCAGGAGTACCCCAGCCCCGGAGGACATAAAGTGTTTTTAGATATCGCTAACGTCCCCTTGGCTAGGATTCTAAAAACCAAAGCTTTTACCTCACTGCCTTCCCGTAACTGTCGGGGGGAGGGAGCCCCCAAATTACTCCTATTGGACACATGGGGACAGGGGGCCCAGAGAGATTAAAGGATATTTTTAAAGAAAAACACGAGCAAACGAAGTGAGGCAGGGGGAGGTGGCCGCTTGGAAGGATGGGCACTGGGGCTGCAGGAGACACGTCCGGGTGAAGAAACGGGGAGCTGCAGTTCGGGGGGGAATTCGGAGGCGGAGGCCTCGGTCCTCACACCCGGGGCCAGGAGGACGGACGGACGGAGCGGGCGTGTGGGGCCGGAGCCCCATGGGAGCCGAGCTTCAGCTCTCTGAGAGGAAGACCCCGTGGCGGTGGGGCAGGAGACGGGGCCCTGGGTTGGGAGGGGTGTGAGCAGATCCTCCAGGCTGCAGAGAGTTCAGCTCCGGTCCAGGTCCCCCCCTTCCTGCCCAGAGCAGGCTGTCGTCCCCCCCCCTTCTTCCCCACCCTGTTGGGTACACTGGAAAGTGTGCTGCGAAGCTCAGGGTCCCCTCTGCCATCTGTGTCTCCTTCCTGAACGGGTCCCTCGGCGGCCATGGGCAAGCACCCAGAGTTCACCTGTGGCCTGCTTCCAGGCACAGCCTTCCGACCCAGGGGCCTGGTAGGGAGGGCAGCAGAGGAGGCACAGAGCCGGGGGGAGGGCAGCAGCCGGAGGGGCAGCACGCCAGCACCCTGAGAGCCGTGTAGCAAGTGTCCGAGAGAGCACCAACCTCAGGCTGGCCCTGTGCTGGGCCTGAGGTCCCGGAGACCTGCCTGCAGCACCCCTTGATCATCTCTGGCTGACCCTTCCTTGCCCTTTAAGACCTGGTTACTGCTTTGGTTCCCAGAGAGTCTGCCCTGATGCCTGGCTGGAAGGAGTGCCCTCACAGGGTGCCCTCTGCACTGATGGGCCATGAGCCCTGGTGCCCAGGCACCGAGGAAGGCCCCCAGTAAAAGGAGGGAAGGTGCAGGGCAGGCTCTGGGAGGGGCGGGCGCTTCCGGGCCAGCTGTGCCTCAGACCTGCCCAGCATTGGGATGGGACGTAGGCCCTCTGGGCACTCACGTCCAGATGTGGGCACTCTCGTCCAGATGCGGGCACGCACTCTCAGACTCCCGGAGAGGCCCGCCGTGGGGCAGTGTGAGGTGGGGTGCGGGCGGGGCAGGTCAGCTGTGGGCAGAAGGAGACGTTAGCTTGTTCAGTGCTAGGAGGCTGGGTGGAGTTCGGCCAGAGGTGACTCTGGGGATGGAGGTCTGAGCCGGTGTCCGGCCTCCTGGGGGTTCTGGGGGAGACCATGTCCTTTGTGTCTGGCTGGGCTCTGCCCCCCAAGGCCAGGCCCCGGCTCAGCGCCTTCTCCGAGGTAGCTCAGCCCGTCCTCAGGGAGCCCCGCGGGGCAGGGACAACGGCCTCACAGACCCGACCTGCAGATCCCAGGTCCGGGAAGCCCCGGACGCTAACGCTGCTCCTCAGTGTGGTGCAGGGTCCGTTTCATGGCTGAGCCGTGTGAGCCTCCTTCGGCTGCTCCGGGAGACTGCTCCCGCCTCCCAGCGGAGGCGGCCGGGGGTTCGGTCAGGGCGCTGCCCGGGGCTGCGGAGGGAGGGGCTCAGAACACAGGGGAGATGTACCCCACGGCCTTCCTGCAGCCTACAACATCTAAATCCCCGGTGACACCCTAGGATAGGGGCTCCAGACCGGGTGGTTATTATAGCTCCGTGGTCGGCAAACTGCGGCTCACCAGCCACATGTGGCTCTTCGGCCCCTGGAGTGTGGCTCTTCCACAAAATGCCACGGCCTGGGCGAGTCTGTTTTGAAGAAGTGGCGTTAGAAGAAGTTTACGTTTAAAAAAAAATGTGGCTCTCAAAAGAAATGACTATCGTTGGACTGTTGATGTTTGGCTCTGTTGACGAATAAGTTTGCCAACCACTGGGCTAGCAGATGAAGGAACGGAGAGGCCAGTGTACTGCCCGAGGCAACCCGCACCCCCCTCCCTGGGTCTGTAGGGCCAGCCTGGGGCGGGGGTGGGAGGTGGAAGGGTGGTGCCGTCCCCGCTGCTGGCGTCCCCGTTTCTCTCATGCTGCTTTGGACGGACTGATGCCTTGGGCTTGGGGTTGAGCTTGGCTTGTGTTTGGGGCTCAGGGGTTTGAGAGGTCACCTGGGGAGGAGGGTCTGCTCAACTTGCTGTCCTTCCTCCAGATGGCGTGGTCCTGGTGGATCCCGAGTACCTCAAGGAGAGGAGAGGTGAGGGCCTCCTCTCCCCCGGTCCCCCAGCCTCCATCGCGGCCTCCCTGACTCCCAGGCCGGCCAGCAGCCGATGATACTCCTCTCCCCGCCCACCCCCACCGCCCTTCCCTCCACCGCCCCGACCGCGTCCCAGCGGGTGCCCTGCCCCAGGCCCACCGGGGAGGGCCCTGAGCACTTTCACCCCAATGCACCTCGAGGATCGAAAGGCTGGGTTGCGAACAGGGCAGCAGGCAGAGTCCTTGTACAGAAGACAGAGTTGGTTGCTGGGGAGGGGAAGGCGTGTCCGAGGTGAGCAGGCGGACAGGAGGCAGAGGTCAGGCTGGGAGCCGACCCCGTGCCTTCTGGGTGTCACCCAGCACCTGCCTCCGCTCCTCCGCCCTCCCCACCTGTGCCCACCACACACACGCCCTGGGCTGGAGCCGGGCGGGGGTGGTGGACAGAGCCATCCGGCAGACGGCCCCCACCTCCTCCAGGTGCCCCGCTCCCACCACCCCATGCCCCGTCCCGAGGGCAGTGGGCCCTCCCGTGGGAACATGGGGGCAGACCCGGGGCCTGCAGTTGTCTCCATCCCAGGGCGACAGCGGCCGCCTTGTGGGGGTGGGGGAGGCGTGGCCGCCCACCCCCCCCGCCGCCCTCAGCGCCCCCCGCCCCCACAGTCTACGTGACGCTGACCTGCGCCTTCCGCTACGGCCGGGAGGACCTGGACGTCCTGGGCCTGACCTTCCGCAAGGACCTGTTTGTGGCCAACGTGCAGTCCTTCCCGCCGGCGCCCGAGGACAAGAAGCCGCTGACCCGGCTGCAGGAGCGCCTCATCAAGAAGCTGGGCGAGCACGCCTACCCCTTCACCTTCGAGGTCAGCGGCCCCTGCCCCCGGCCGTTCAGAAGCCCCGCCTCCAGGAGGCCTCTGGGCAGGGGCACAGGGGCACGGGGGCAGCGGCTCCATGGCACATCCTTCCCGGGGCAGGGGTGGGCCTGGTGCCCCGTCACGGCTCTTCCCTGCCAGGGGAGTGACCCCGACCTCCGAGCCCCTCCCCAGACCCTCCTGGTTCCAGGTCACGGGGGGTGGGGTGGGGGGGAGGAGGTGGAGGGCGCTGCAGAGAAAGAAGGAACCCTTTCTCACCCCTGGGTCGCTACAAGGCTGTCTCCTGGCTCAGGCTGGCTGCCCACTCGCCCAGCTCCCCCACGGGGGATGGCAAGTAGTGGGTTTCCTGGCTCTGCCATCTTTCCACCCCGGGACTCCCAGAGTCTGGGCTTTAAAATGCCCCGTTTCTCAGACTCTGCTTCTGTAAGGGGGTGGAGCCTCCTTGCTCTCTCTGGGGGGGCGGGGCTAGGGAAGGGGAGAGGGTACCATCGTCCTCTCCATCCCGCGTGACTTGGTCTCCCGCGGCTGCGGTGGCCAAACACCACACACCCGGTGGCAGTGACCCTCGCCCGTCACCGCCTCACAGTCCTGGCGGGCAGAAGCGCAGCGCGGGCCGCCCCAGGCTGTGTGCTCCCCGGAGGCTCCGGGGCAGGGTCGGTTCCTGGCCTTTCCCAGCTTCTGGAGACGCCCACATTCCTAGGCTCCTAGCTCCCCCCCCCCCCCCCCCCCCCCCCCGCTCAGTGTGGAGTCAGTCTCACAGCCCATCACCGGTGCTGGCTCTTCTGCTTCCTGCTTCCACCATTAAGGACTCTGGCCTGAGGTCCTTAACGTAACCACATCCCCACAGTCCCTTTTGCCACGTGAGGTAACAGAGTCATGCGTCTGGGGTTTAGGACACAGACATCTTTGGGGCCATGATCCCGCCCACCACAGTGGACATCGCGGAAAGATCTCTGTCCGCTGTTCTGTGAGGACTGGGCTGGGCTGAACCCTTTATTTTAATTTATTATTTATTATTGATATTTTTTAAAAAATATATTTTATTGATTTCTTACAGAGAGGAAGGGAGAGGGATAGAGAGCTAGAAACATCGACCAACCGGGGATGTGCCCACAACCAATGTACAATACATGCCCTAGACCGGAATCGAACCTGGGACCCTCCAGTCCGCAGGCCGACGCTCTATCTATCCACTGAGCCAAACCGGCTTTGGCTAGGCTAAACCCTTTAGATACAGACAACACACTGAAGCCCTGGCTTTCCCGGAGGGTGTGGCTTGGGGAGGTCTGATGGGGGAGACCCGGTCTGTCCCCGGGAGCCGCTGGCCTGATGGGAGAGGCAGGCCTGTGCGTGGGGGCCCCTGGCCTGGTGCCTGTGGGTGGGGGCGGGGCCCGTGGGGAGGGAGGTGGGCAGTGTGGCAGGAGCTCACGCTGTCCGTATTCCGTCCGTCCTCTCCGCAGATCCCTCCGAACCTCCCGTGCTCGGTGACCTTGCAGCCGGGGCCGGAAGACACTGGGAAGGTGGGCCATTCCCGAGGGAGCGTCTCTCTGGGAGGGAAGTGGCCCCAGAAGCGTCCCAGGCCCAGGATCTCTGAGCCCGTCCCCTCCTCTGCCAGAGGGAGATGACAGGCCGTGCTCCTCGGGTGGCTGTGTGGGCGGAGTGAGACGCCCAGGCAATGCCCCCAGGGCCCGGTCCGCACCAGGGGGCGCTCCCACCCGGCCGCTGAGGCTCCTGTGTGTGTCTGGGCGGCTGCCCTGGGGAGGGTGGCCACCCAGGTGAGGCGGGAGCCTGTAGAACGGAGCCCCTGAGGGTGCTGGGGTGGGGGGGAAGAGCCTGTATCAGGGGAACCTGGGGAACAGCTCTGGGAGAAGGCCAGGTGGCAGCCGCGGAAGGAGGCAGCACAGCCCTGGGTCAGACCGAGGGGCTGTGGGGCTGTGGGAGCTCCGGCTTCCGTTCCAGCGCCCTCCTTTGTGAAACGAGAGGGACCCCGCTGGCTCCAAGGCCCTGTGGTCAGTGACCCCCTCCCCGCAGGCCTGTGGTGTGGACTATGAAGTCAAAGCCTTCTGCGCCGAGAGCCTGGAGGAGAAGATCCACAAGCGGTGAGGAAGAGGGACAGAGGGACGCAGCTCCCGGCGGCCAGGGGTGTGGGCAGAGCGAGGGAGGCCGGCTGGGGCGTCCGAAGAGATAAGTGACAATGCCTGGAAGTGTTCTGGGAGGGCCCCCACATTCCAGCCTTGGGAGCTCCGAGGAGGGCGCTCTGGAAGGCCGGCAGGTCCTGGAGGGCTTCCTGGAGGCGGCGGCTCACTTGCCCTGGCTGAGGCCCCGGCATTTTTTTTTCTTTACACCCTTGTACCTGCGTCCTCCTTCTCCCTGGCCTTGAGTCTCGACCCCTCCAGATTTTATTTTTTTTATTTCTTTATTTTTACTTTGTTTTGAAAACCCTTGAAATCCAGACTGTCTTAAATAGGGAGCTTAGTTATTCCCAGGCCATCCTACGCCCCGTTTCCCAGTTCTCCTCCTGGGAGGCCCTCAGCAGCAGGTGGTGGTGGTGGTGGGTGTCAGTGGAGGCTTCTAAGAAGGGAGGGAAGTGGAGAGTGAATGCACCCAGGGGAAAGGCAGGGAGGTCAGCTCATGTCTCAGAGAGAGGAAGTATTCTCCTGGAGAGCCACAACCCGGGGCACACAGGGAGCCCAGGCTGGCAGCCCCCAACAGCCGGCCCTGACTGTGGGGTGGGCTTCCTCAGCCCCAACTCAGGCACCCTGCCTGGGACATTTCCTGCAGGAGGCGGGCTGAAGGCACTCCCATCTCTCAAGGAGTGGGCTGAGTGCGCCACCTGGTGGCTGTAGGTGTATTGCAGGCACCTCCTCCTGGGCAGCTTGTTTGTGTGTTGGGGGAGAGAAATGGTACTCTTTTTCCTTGCTTTTCTGTCCCCAGAGAAAAGTAGGTGTGTGTGTGTGTGTGTGTGTGTGTGTGTGTGTGTGTGTGTATGTGTAGCCTGATCAGAGCAAGAAAGAGGAGCCGCACTGAGAGCCACCGCCCTCACTCACCATCAATGGGGCACTTTAAGTCCTGACCAGAGTTACTACTAATAATGGTATTGCAGCTATCATTCACTGAAGATTTATTAAGTGCTGGACAGTATTCAAAGTGATGGGCATGCCCGAACTAATTGAATCCTCGTAGCTACCCTAAGAGGGTGGTCCTGCTACTGTTACTGTTTTCCAGATGAGGAGCTGAGACAGAGGCTCCTGCACTCAGGGTCATAGTTAGTAAGGGGAGAGCGAGGACGTTAGCCCTGGCTGTCTGGTTCCAGGGGACGGAGGTGGCTTCTCTGAGAAATGGGGGCGCCAGCATATCGAACACGTCATGGAGACTGCCTCCCCGGGCCCCTGTCCCCCTGTCCTGTTCCACCCTGAGCCCCAGGCACCTTCACCGAGCCCCATCTTGTCTCTGGGCCTCCTCTCCCTCACTGAGTCTTTATCCTCTTCCCTGGCCGCACCCCCTGACCGAGTCCATGCCCCGTCACTGACCCCGCTTCCTCTTCAAGGCCCCATTTCTTCACGGGGTCCATGTTCCCTGCACATTTTTATTTAATCGATAGTTAGCAGGCACTTGTGAGATGGCAGACACTGTCACAGGTGCTGAGAATAAGCAGTGAGCGATGTAGACGGAAATGTCTGTCTTTAAGGAGCTTATACTATCAGACGACGTAAGGAATGCAGGACGTGCTGCCCCGGGGTGGTTCGGCTCTGATGTTGTGGGGGTTCAGACCATGGGAAGATCCAAACAGGGTAGATCCAGGAAGGCTTCCTGGAAGAGGAGGCATTTAGCTGGGCCTCGAAGATGAAAGCAAGCGAAGGCAGAAGCAGTGGAAAGAGGGTATGATAGGTGGGGCCCCAGTGCAAGGGCAGCTTCAGAGAAATGACTAGATAGAACATCTGGGATGATAGAGAGGAGGTGGGGGTGGCTGGAACAGATGGAGGAGTGCCAGATGGTGACAAGGCTCCCACGCCAATCTCTGTGGTTTGGACTGGAGTCTGAGGCGGTGGGGAGGGATGGCCGTCTCCTGAGCAGGAGAAGGACGTGAGGATGGCCAGGAAAGGGGGTGGGGGCGGGGGCTCGGGTCACCATTGGCTCCTCTGCCTCCCCCAGGAATTCTGTGCGCCTGGTGATCAGGAAGGTCCAGTATGCCCCGGAGAGGCCTGGCCCCCAGCCCACGGCCGAGACCACCAGGCAGTTCCTCATGTCGGACAAGCCCCTGCACCTCGAGGCCTCCCTGGACAAGGAGGTAGGCTGCTCAGACCTGGGGGACGGAGGGGACTCAGGGCGGGAGGGAGGGAAGGGAGCTGCCAATCACGCTGGAGCCTCAGGTCCCAGCTCTTTGGTGACCTCAGGACTCCTCCATAGGAGCTTCTACCCCCAACTCTACGATGACAGGGCACAGGGAACCTGAGCTTTCCATTGGGGGTTTGGGGGAACCTCTGGGAACCTAAGGGGTGGCAGCAGAGGGCATGCGCCTGAGGGGAGTGACTGACTTCAGAAATCAGTGTACCTCCCAAAGGGTCCCGGGTCCTGGTCATATCCCCTTCCCCCCCACCCCTCCCCGCCTCTACCCTCCGTCCACCCGTGAGCTGTGAGCGTCCCTCCTCTTGTCTCAGAACAGCTGAAGGCAAGTTCTTGGGGCAAGATTCACATTGAGGCCCCTCTGTAAGGGTTCAGAGCTGGTTCCTCCGTGCTCCCGGCCCTTCCCCACCTACTTCCTTCCTCTTCTAGACCCTCCCGTGTCTCACCTTGAGGCTCATACAGCCTGTCCAAGCCCACCCCTCTCGTTCTGAGTGTCATTATTGCTTCTGGTGCTAAGCCAGGGTCGGAGCCCAGGAGTATCACCTGCTAATGTAAAGCCTTTCGAAGTCCCCCAACGGAACCGAAGTCTAACATGCCTGGTGGCTTAGCCTCGGCGGGAAGTGGCTGATGAACGAGGGGCCCGTATCAGAGGGCCACGGTCTGGGGAGCCCCAGGAGATGTGTGTGTGTGAGGCCTCTTCCGCCTCCCCGCTCCCCTCTAGAGCGTTGGTGTCCTCCCACCCAACCCTTCTCCCTTCTTTCGCCGCCCAGATCTATTACCACGGAGAGCCCATCAACGTCAACGTCCACGTCACCAACAACACCAACAAGACGGTGAAGAAGATCAAGATCTCGGGTACCCCAGGCGGAGGGCCAGCCCGGGGGGCGGGCACGAGGGACTCCTCCCAGGGATGGGGGGGGAGGTAGCCGGCTACAGGGAAACCAGGCTGCTCTGGGCCTAAGAGGAAGGCTTTGGAGGCTGCTGATGGCCAGGGAACGGGTTTACCGTGTAAGCCGCCTCCTCGCAGGTTCCCTGGGTCCAGGGCAGAGCTGTCCCTGAGGGGAAGATGCTGGTCTTGGAAGGGAGGGGTGTGTCTGGGCTGCCCTCTGGGTGGGGGCGGGGGGCGGTCTCCTGTGGGAGCCCCCAGGGGACTTGGCCATTGCCTGGGGCTAACCATCCCCAACTCAGGGGCGCCTAGGAGGCGAGGGCGCTGGCCCCCGGACTCACACGCCTCGTCTCCCTCTCCCTCCCCAGTGCGCCAGTATGCAGACATCTGCCTTTTCAACACAGCCCAGTACAAGTGCCCCGTGGCCCTGGAGGAGGCCGAGTAAGTGAGCAGGAGGCCCGCCTCAGGCACATGGGACTGGGTGGGGAAGGGAAACCCTGGGTCCACTCACAGAGCCAGAGGCCTCGGGCAGGGCGCTGGGCCTCAGACAGATGAACCTGAGCAGCCTTTAGAAAACATCCACTCGACTTAGCTGCAAGAACATGCGTGCTACCGTCAAGTGTGCACTCACACTAGAATGACAGCCCAGCGCGGGTGGCTCAGGGGCTGAGCATCGACCTGTGAACCAGGGGCTTCCCGGTCAGGGCACAGGCCCGGGTTGTGGGCTCCTGGGATATGCAGGAGGCAGCCAATCAGTGATTTTCTCTCATCGTTGATGTTTCTCTCTCTCTCTCCCTTTCCTTTCCTCTCTGAAATCAATATAAAAAATAAAAATAAGAAATAGCTAGAACAACAAAATAAGAGCTAACGACTATAAGGAAACTGTGGTCATAATGATACTGTGCCTGAAACCTATGTGGAAGCGAGCTCCTTGTTCTGAGCTTCCTGGCAGCCGGAGCAAAGAGGTGAAGGTGCCCGGTACCCAGTGTTTCTAGTCCGATACAGGAACAGCCCAGCCCCCTGGGTAGCAGGGGTTGTGTGGGAGGGCAGAGAATAATTAATTTTCACAAAATCTAGGTTTGAGGAGCGCTGTTATGACTGAGCGTGGAACTTTGTTCCAAGCTTCCTAGCAGCGAAGGAGAGAAGGAAGATCTCAAGTGAGACACTCTTTCTCACCTGGAAGGAGTAGATGCTCCCGTTGGAAGACGTGTCGTTTTTTTCCTCCTGACCCTGCGTGTACATGTCTGAGTAGTTGCATTTCATTTCATTTGCCCTATGTGTGTGGGTTTACTTACATGGAATAGCCATCGGTATGTTTGCAACTAAAAAAAAAAAAAAAAAAACATTAAAAAAATGTCACTCTGTGGTCTCGGCGATGTCCGGGCCGGGCTGGGGCTGGCTCCGGGGGCTATTTCGACACCTGCCTCCCTTCTTCCCAGCGACACGGTGGCGCCCAGCTCCACGTTCTGCAAGGTCTACACGCTGACCCCCTTCCTGGCCAACAACCGAGAGAAGCGGGGCCTCGCCCTGGACGGGAAGCTCAAGCACGAAGACACGAACCTGGCCTCCAGCACCCTGTGAGGACCCGCCGGGGCGGGAGAGGGGTCACACCCCGGTGGGCCTCACCAGTGCCCGCACACGGCCTGGGTTAACCTCCTCCCAAGTGGTCCGGGGACCGTCCTCAGGAGCTTAAGTGGCCAGGGAAGCTGTCCCTTTGCCCCCCCCCCCCCGCCCCCGCCTTGATCCAGGAATGCCCCAGAGACAGGATGGGCCCAGACCAAGGCTGCGCTCCTGCTTGTGGGGAGCACCCTGGAGAGGCTTCCTTTGAGGGACAAGCCCTAGCCTGGTGCCTGCAGTCAGACGGGTTGTCCCTCAGGCACCGTGAGGAGGTCCCACAGGAGAGGGCCAATCAGGAGGGGCTGGGAGGGCTGGAGGGAGGAGGGCAGGTGGATGGCCCTCAAAGGCAGGGATTCCCTGCCCCACGGTCATTCCTCCCCAAGCCCTCACCGGAAGGCAGCGCTCACCGTCCCCACACATCGCTCTGCCTGCTCCAGGCGGTCACCGTCCCCACACACCTGCTCCAGGCGGCCGAGGGCCCGGGAGAGGGACAGGAGGCTTCTCCCCCGCGCCCCGGCCCGTCTCGCCCGCCCAGGGGGCTCCATTAACCGGCGCCCTGTGTCGCCTTGCAGGTTGAGGGAAGGCGCCAACAGAGAGATCCTGGGCATCATCGTGTCCTACAAAGTGAAAGTGAAGCTGGTGGTGTCTCGGGGCGGGTGAGTGCTCCGGTCCCGCCGGCCCCTCCCTCGGCCTGCAGAGGGCGTGCCCTGCCCGCCTGCAGCCCGCCGGCCCGTCCTGCCTGCTGGCTGGGCTTCGCAGCTGCACCTGCTGTGAAGGCCAACCAAGCTCCAGGGCTTCCCGCTCCCTCTCTCTCTCCTTCCTTCCTCCTCCCCGTCTCCCTCCCCTGCCCCTGACCCGCTCTTGCTTTAGAGGCCTTCAGCCCCTCCCTCCCCCCTCCTATCCATCCCTCCTCCTCCCCCCTCCTCTCCCCTAGCTCCCCTCATCCCGGCTCATGGGTGGGGGGGAGTTCGTCCCAGAGTCTATGCTGTGGGTGTCCAGGGGGTTCGGTGCCTCGCACCCTACCTGAGGGTGCAGCACCCACCCCCGCTCATGCCCACGCTGATGGGCTGGGGAGATGGCTAAAGGGGCCGGGACTCCCACAGCTGGGTTGGGGGGTGTTCTGGCGTTCCCATTTTACAGACGGAGAAACAGGAAGCGCAAACAGTCCCCCAAACACGTCCTGCAGTCTCCCCGCCTCCTCTCAGGTCGTGGGGGCGGGAGGGGGTGGGGTCGTGGCCGTGGGCACAGTCTGGGGCAGGGGGCACTCAGAAAGAACTACCTTCTCCCCCATATTGGAACCACGTGTGGTTATGGACCTGGACTTCTGATTTGGATTTAGAGAGTCGTCACAGGGATATTTTTCTAATTCACGCGTTTCTACAAAAAAGGGTGGAAAGCGAATAACATTCGATGTCCATCCCCTTTATCATGAGAATAATGCCTATTGCAGTGGCGGCGGGTAACACTGATTGCAAATTATAGGACCTCTCAGAATTGCAAGCCCAGGCCCCGCAGAACCCAGGCTGCCTCCAGCTGCTTCCTGGAGAAATCCTGGGCGGCGAATCCCAAATGCTGCACTCACTAGAGAGGCCTCCCAGGAGGGGCAGCTCTGTGGTCCATGTTCATGTCTCCGCTGCAGACCTGGGTCCCGGGGCTCAGCGAGGCCTGTGAGGGGGGGGGGGGGTGGCCGAGCCTGACCAGATCTCAGCCCCCTGGGGAAGGGTGACTGCCTTCGTGTGTCCCCGAAAGAGCAGCCACAGCCCCTCAGGGTGGGTGGGCGTGAGCCCCAGGGCGGCAGAGGTGGTGAATGAACATGCTTTCTGTTTTCTTCCTCCTCACTCTCTCCTGACCACTCCTCCCGCCTCCTCTGGCCCACCCAGCCTGTTGGGAGACCTTGCGTCCAGGTAAAGTCCCTCCCTCGGACCTGACTGACCCCCTTTCCGAGCTGCAGGGCCCGCGGTTGGAAGGGATGTATCGGTCACTTTCAGCCGCCAGGCTGGGGCATGAGTCCGGGGGCTGCAGTCCTTCCTCTGAAAGCCTCATGCTGCGCTTGCCTTAGGCCCAGGCGGCAGGGACCTCTGCAGACAGCTGCACGGCCGGCTTTGCCGATGCAGGGAGCAGCCCCCTATGAGTCTGCATTATAGAATGTTTTGAGGAAACGCCAGCTTCGTGGCTTTCAAACGACTGCACTCTTGAGAAGGAACTGCTGGCCGAGGGTCGCTGAGGAGAGGCCCTGTGGAGATCTGCCTTGGTAGACAAGACTCCCTGGTCCCCAGCTGGATCCACACACCTTCCTTCCACAAAGGCACACGTCCCAAACGCAGTGGTGCTGCCTCCTTCTGACACAAGAGGGCACTATTGCTCGCCCCAAGAAATCAGTCCATTTGGAGAGGGGAAATTCAATTCAGTTCAGTTCCATTCAATGCATTTCAGTCAAGATTTCCTGAACCCAGCCTTGTGCCCGCCTCGTGCGGGGTGCTGAGGTTCCAGAGAGGCATCATCACAACCCCTGTCCTCGGTCACTCGGGGTCTGGTGGAAGGTGAAGGTCCGGATGCTCCCAGCTGTGTCCCTGAAGGAAGGCTGCCGGCTTGGTCTTACACCAGCTTCCATTCTGAGATCTCCCAAGTGCACCTGGAAAAGCAATCCCCATTTGGAAGCAAAATAGAGGAGAGGAAAAAAAAAAGCCAAATTGTTTGTTTATTTTTTTGTTTCTATTTTTAAAAAAGTATATTTTTTATTGATTTCAGAGAGGAAGGAAGAGGGAGGGGGAGAGAGAGAGAAACATCAATGATGAGAGAGAATCATTGATTGGCTGCCCCCTGCACGCCCCACACTGGGGATCGAGCCTGCCACCCGGGCATGTGCCCTGACTGGGGATCAACCGCGACCTTCTGGTTCATAGGTTGACGTTCAACCACTGAGCCACGCCAGCCGGGCATGAGAGCCACATTGTTTCAACGGCCTTATGAGACCGCTGTGTTCTCACTGAGGGGAAGTCATGGTTCGCACAGGCACACGTGTCCGTGTCCAACGGAGCCTTGTGCCTGCACCACCCCCTGGAAGTTCTAGTGGTTGGGTGCAGCTGTCCCCGTTTTCCAGAGGAGCTCAGTGAGGCTTAAAGACGCAAAGTGCTGCCCACGGAGTGGTGGGGCTGGTGGAGCAGACCTTTTCTGTCGGTCTGCCCCCTCCGTCTCCCTGTCCCTTCTCCCTCCTAGCAGGGCCCTGGGCAGCAAGGTCAGTGAGGTGACGAGGAGCCTGGCAGCACTCACAGTTGGCAGGGCCTCCTGTGTGACCCCACGCCCCCACCCCCCCCCAGCTCAAGTGAGAGGAGGAGCCTCGGGACTGCTTTTGTGAGTCAGAGGAGAAAGTGGGTGGAAATCACCTCCGTTCTGAGCTGGGCTCCTCAGTGCTTAAGGCTGTGAATCAGGGAGTCAGAAGCCTGCCTATCACTTCCCGTTAATGGCTGTGTGCCCTTGGGGAAGACACTTGCACTCCTGGTGCCTCAGTTTCCCAACCTGCCCATTGGGTGCAGGAATAGCACGGTTGTGAAGATTAGAGTTGCTATAGGGCAGTGGTCAGCAAACTCGTTAGTCCACAGAGCCAAATACCAACAGTACAGCGATTGAAATTTCTTCGGAGATCCAATTTTTTCAAACGTAAACTTCTTCTAACGCCACTTCTTCAAAACAGACTCGCCCAGGCCATGGTATTTTGTGGAAGGGCCACACCCAAGGGGCCAAAGAGCCGCATGTGGCTCGCAAGCTGCAGTTTGCCGACCACAGCTCTAGGGTGGTCGTGGCAGAGTCAGCGTCATGTTAGTGTCTGGTCTTGTTATCATCCTGTCTGTCAGAAGCGCTGGCTGGTGGCAGCACCTCCCCTGCTCCTCCCCACGTGTCCCCCCCTCCATCCCGCTGGGCTTTAAGCCTCCAGGCACGATGCGATGGCCCCAGGGCCGGGCTTCCACCAACCTGAATTGGGTTGAACTGGCCTCAGCTGTGCATCATCCAGCCGGCAGGGGCGAGGGCCACCTGAGCACGTTCAGTGGGGCCTCCTGGAGATGCTGGGAGAAGGGACGGAGTGAGGGTCAGGGGGAGCTCCAACCAGGACGTTGGGGAGGCGGTGTCCAGATGGCGGTGGGGATTTGAGGTTGGCAGGACCCCCTGCCGCCTCTGGAACCACCAGGGACCAAGAGGCACACACCGTCCTGAGCCACGCTCCTCCCACCCCCGTGTCTCCTCCCAGCTCGTGGGAGTCCAGGGATCCCTCTCAGAGAACCAGGGTCTGAGGCAGGATTCCCCACCTCTCCGCCCAGAGCTGCCTCTTCTGACCAGGAAACCCTCCCCGGTCCTCCAACTGACAGGGCGCTGAGTCTCACAACCAAAGTCTGGGCTCGAGGCTCAGCGGGTCCGGGTCTCTGTTTCAGTGACGTGGCCGTGGAACTGCCCTTCACCCTGATGCACCCCAAGCCCAAAGAGGAGCCCCCACTACGGGAAGGTGAGCGGGGTCTGTGGGTCACCGGGGTGGGCGTTTCCAGAGAGCCTACCCCTTTCTCCATCAGCTGCCGTGTTTTCCCAACACCCCACTCCCCTCTGGGCCAGCCTCCAGCCCAGGGTCACCCCTCTTCCCCAGCTCCTCAGGGTCTTGTGCGAGGCCCACACTCCTATTGACGTTTAACTCCCTAGGAGACAGGGAGGTCTGGCTCTGGTCCCCGTGGGCGGGGGGTGGGGTGGGGGGAAGCTGGGAGTAGAGGGGCCCCACTGGCCATGCCTGGAACCCTTCTCTTGCATCCAGATGTGGGAAAGGGAGCTCCGTGGGTAAGGTGGCCCCTGGACACCATTCCCACAGTTTTCCTGAGAGATTCCAGGTTGGCCATACCTCACGAAGACTCTTTCAGTCAAAGAGACGTTGCATACTATGTTCCACAAAGAAAGAAAAATGTTCCCACAATTAGACGATGCAATGCTGTTGGTTATAAAAACACCCCAAGTTCAGGGTTGGGGAAATGTGGGGGGAAAAAAACCCGGTTGTGTTAGAGTAGGTGAAAGAGAGGCATGGCAGCCGAAACCGGTTTGGCTCAGTGCGGACTGAAAGGTCCCGGGTTCGATTCCGGTCAAGGGCATGTGCATTGGTTGCGGGCACATCCCCAGTAGGGGGCGTGCAGGAGGCAGTTGATCGATGACTCTCTCTCATTGATGTTTCTAACTCTCTCTCTCCCTTCCTCTCTGTAAAAAATCAATAAAATATATTTAAATATTAAAAAAAAAAAAAAGAAGAAAGAGAGGCATGGCAGACAGGGATCTACGTCACAGTGGAAATGAGCCCACAGGGGCGGGTGCGGAGGCTCTTCCTACTCCTGGGGCTGCAGGGGCCGCTGGGACCTTCCCGGAGCCTCTCATCCGCCTTTAGGAAGTTCTGGGGTATTTCTGATACCGGGGACCAGCCTTCCTTCCCACTCCCTTCTTCCATTATCCTCCTCATCTTAGCTGGCTGTTCTGGGGCGGGGATCCTGTGTCCCATACCCACTCACACTAACTCATGGGTGCCTGCCCATCTGTGTTTAGTTCCAGAGAGCGAGACGCCCGTGGATACCAACCTCATAGAACTTGACACAAAGTAAGCCAAACCTCAGCCTGCAGACGTCAGGGGAGCGTGGAGGTTGGGTGGTGGGTGGGGCAGCAGGGTCATTTGCATAGATGCTTATTAACCCCTGGGGAGCAGCTGGGCTAACCTTGTCTGCAGAGGGCCGCCTCTGCTGCCTCTTGAGCAAGCCGCTTGCCTGCATGTGACTTGAAGGACCCTCCGTGCCTGCTTCCCTTCCTCCTGCCTCCGTGGGGTTTGTCTTCTCCCCTCATCCTTGGCACGTCCATCCGTCTGTCCACGGCACCTGCTTGGCTCACACACGGCTGGTTCATGGCCCTGGGCGCAGGCTCTCATGTCCCACCAGGGCCCAACCAGAGAAATCAGGCTGTGAGATGGGGAAGGTTCTTATTGCTCCTGACCCCCGAGGACTGATGTGGATTTCTGTGCGGCCAGAGGCCGCTGGCTCACAGGACAGTTGCCAGAGGGGGAGGACCTGGGCCAAAACCATGAACCACCTCCAGGGCAAACCAGCTCTCTCGTTCCAGCTCCAAACCCACGCTTCCCTTGTCTCCCAGGAGATATTTGGGATGTGAGATTTCAAGTCACCCTAGGTCCTCAGGCCTAGGAGAACACCCCCACACTGCTGGCTGGATTCTGGGGGACAGGGGACTCAGGTGGGCCTAAGTGGACCTGTTTCATAGTAGAAGGGAACTCGTTGTGCTTGAAAGCAGCGCCTCGTCCTGAAAACCCACTCAGGCACCCCTTCCCCCACCCACCCTTCCTCTGCTCCCCTGTTTAGATTTTGTACCCCCAAACCCTTCCTCTCCAAGGCCACTCGGGTAGAACGTGAGCCGGCACTTTCCTGGAGAAAGGGCCTTCATGGTTTTCTCTCCCAGGAAGTCAACTGTTCCTTCCTGTGCAGAAACCGAAGAGCTTCCTGAGGGAGTCCTTTAGGGGAGTGGCAGGGGGGGGTGCCCTGGGCCTGTTCTGGGGAGCCCAGAGTGTGCTGTGGACCTGCTGGTGGCCTGGCCTCTCACAGTACGAGTGGGTTCTTCCTCCGCCCCCAGCCCGGCTACACCCGCCCCCAGCGCCTCAAGAACCAGGTCACTTTCCAGCCCGTAGGCGTGAGAGGCACACGTACGCCTTCCTCTGCTGTTTCTACAACTGGCTGGAGGCCTTTGTGCCCAGGGTCAGCCCACCCACGCAGTGTCAGTCCCATGGGCATGCTGGCCCTCTGACCCCTCTGAGGACGCCTGCTCTCCCTGCCCTGCAAACACCTCCCCATTCTCCTTGTCTTTCCCACCAGCGACGACGACATTGTGTTTGAGGACTTCGCCCGGCAGAGACTGAAGGGCCTGAAGGACGACAAGGAAGAGGATGAGGATGGTACCGGCTCTCCGCAGCTCAACGACAGATAGACAGATAGACCGGGGCCAGCCCCGAGGGCTGCTCCAGGCCCGCCCTCCTGCACTAGGCTGCTTCCTTGTCTTCTTCCTGTCCTGGTGCCCCCTCCCCTCTGTTCTTCCAGTCTCCGCCAGGGGCCCAGTGGTCTTCCAGGTTGTGGTGGTGAACCTCTGGCCTCAGCACGGGCCCCGCATCACCACGCCAACGGGGCCGCGTGCACCACCATAACCCAGTCACCTCTCCGTCCTTTTTCTGCTGACCCCCAGAAAGGCCACCGTGGCTCCGGCCTTGGGATTTGACTTGGGATGGGGATCAGGGGGGGAACGATAGGGCACAGGACTTGGAAGGGTGGGGCTGAGGGGTCCAGATGTGTGAGGGAAGGAACGCCCACAGCCCCAGGTGGTGAACACAGTCTGGCAGCTAAAAGATGGCCATGGTGAAGGCCACGCCCTCTTCTGGCCGGGAGGACAGACTGTGGATAGATTCTCAATGCCTTTTGGCAGTCCTGACCCACAAAACACCTCCCCGCTCCTACCCCTGTCCCTCTGTGTCTGGCAGTGACATTGGTGTAGACCCCAGGCGTGGACAAGAGCAACTGGACCGACTCTCGTACCAGCGGTTAGAGAGTGTAAGGCAAGCTGTAGTCTCTTTCAGTATTGTCAGGCTGTAACCTAGCTACCCTGTATCTTCTGTGTGTGTCCTGCCTATAAATATGCACATAGAGAGAGAAAAGGAGGGGTCTTCAGAAATATACCCCCCGCCCCCCCTCCAGACAGAGTGAGCCTAAGCTACAGAGAGGTTTCCGGAAGGGTGGCTCTGAGAGATGAGGGCAGGGGCGGAAAGGTGGGCATCTGTCCTGTTTCCTTTCTTTGTGGACTTGTGGTTGGCGATGCTGTGGGAAGCAAGCCTGGGAGTCTAAAGGGGTCTGGAGACATCAGTGTCCTCCTGCCTCCACATTGCAGTTCTCCAGGCCTGGGCTGGGCTGGTCCTGTAGGCTGGGAGGCAGCACCTATGGCCACCACACCCACAGGCAAAAGGGGTCCTTCCCCAGAAGGTGGCAGGGTCCATCGGGGTGCCCTCAACTAAAAGGGAGGGGACTGCTGCCTAGCAAGGAACCTTTTGTTTCCTTGGGGAGTTGATGATCCCTCCCCCTCCCCGGCCCCACCCCCCAGTGTCATGGGGACCCAGTACCCATTGGCTGGTGTGATTGAGACCTGGGATGTTTCCAGGGCAACGGGACAGGCAGGTGAGGTAGAAGGTGTTCAGAGGTCTCTGTTGTCTGGCCTTTGCTGCTCCCTTACTGTGTGACCTTGGGCAAGTTCCTTTCCCTTTTCTGGACCTCAGTTCTTCACCTGGAAAACCAAGGGGTTTGACCAATGATCACAAAGGGTTCTCCCAGCCCTGGCCTCCTAAGAATGTGTGAACCGTGACTTTCTGGTTTAGTGGGTGGAGCCAGAGCTTCTGACCCTGTTCTGGCTCCTCCCGAGGGGACTCATTAGACCCCCGAAGTGGCAGGATCTTGGAGAGCTCCCACTTCCCCACCCCAGGCCTGGGATGGAGGGCCCTTCCTGGGCCTCTGGAGGTTGCCTGATGTCAAGGTGTGGCCTTAGCTATCATGTGCTGCTCGGCCCTGGGGCCTGATTATTACAAAAGGACAGAGCTTGTATTTGCTAAGACTTGGGGGGGGAGTGGGGGGGTTAGGGTGGGAGGGAAGAGTGCTTGTGATAGGACCTCCAGTAACTTAGAGCCCCTGAGAATGCCGTTACCTGAGGTTTACCTTAAACCCAAGCAACTATATTGATTTGTGGAGCAAGAGGCTCTCTCCTCAATTCCTGCTTCCTTCTATTTCTATCCCATACCTGTCTGAAAGGAGACAGCAAAATTTTATTATATAAGTTAAATCTCTCAATCCTTTTCAATCCATTGCCTGTTGGGGTGGCCTGGGCAACCATTTACCATGATGAGATTACCCAGTTCCCATGCTTGGCACTGTCCTAGCCCTTCTCTTCTGAATCTCCTGAAGATTCAACCCTGGCTACCCCTACCCAGGTGAGAATGCAGTCAGCTCAGGACAGTCACACCCCGCTGGCCAGACCTTGGGTCTCAGCTGCAGGCGCCTCAGGCACCGAGCCCCTGCCAGAACTTGCCGGGCTGTGTGCACCTCCCTGGGCAGCTGTAGAGCTGGGGAGATGCTGGAACAGCACACCACAAGCATGTGGTCTCCAGAGTCTTCCTCCGGAATCTTTGGAGCTGGCATAAGACCCTTTAGGATTTAGGATAATCACTCCGACACCCCTTCTCCTCCATCTCTAACCAAAGGACCTGAGCTTCTACCCCAACATCTCACTCATCCTTTTGTGTTCATCCCAGTGTTTGCCTGAAATTTCTCCAGCTGCAGGAAGCATCGTAGGCCCAGTTAGCTTCTCCCTCTTGGGTGCAGGGCTGCAGCAGGGCCGTGGTCAAGTTCATTGGAAGTGATCTTAAGCATCCCTGGCTGGTAACTTTGTTGCCCTGGGCCGAGCACTGGAGATCCTGTCTTCAGGCAGCTCATGGTCCGGGGAAAGTCATGGGGGAGGAATGGGCCGTTTTATTCAGAGCTCCATGGCTGCTGCTAGTCCATTTAGTGCCTTGATGTGAATTAGACATGGCGCCCCCTCCAGGTGGCCTCCACCCACGTTAGCATGGACAGTTTTATGAATGGTGCCCAGGCTGGAGGTTAGCCCTACGTGCCCCTGAGCTGGTGCCCACCTGCAGAGTCCTATGCTACAGCTCAGAGGATATTGTCAGTGACTGGGACTGGGGCACCTTTGTCCCTCTCGGGCTTGGTATCACCCACATCTTCCATCTCTCAGACCCCACAGAGGCCAGGAAGCCTTGGCGCTTGTCCCAGGTTGGTGAAAACCCCAAGATCCAATCCCCAAATCAGTGATCCACCGAAGAACCCAAGAGGAGGTGGAATAGAAATTGCCTGTCCCTTCCCTCAAAGTACAATGTCCCCTCCAGGGTCAAACAGGATGTCCAATGCTTCTTGATGATACTAGGGGAGGCATTTTGGCTCAGGGAAAACCCAGGCCTCGGACACTGAGAGCTGAGCCCCGCTGTCCTGTCCCCAGTAGTCTCAGCCAAGGCTGCTTCTCTCCTGCCAGTGACTGGTGACTGGGCATTCTCTCCCTCTTCCGGAAGAAGGCACTAGGCCCTAGTCTTGAACTCTTATAGGGTCTCATGGACACAGGCTTGTACCTGTTCTCACGTGTTTCTTTTTAAAGCCAACAAGGACCAAAACAGACTCCCTCCACCATCGTGCATAAGCCTACATTGGGCCTGCACCTTGGCCCAGGCAGTCCCATCCCTCTGTCCTCCCTCCAGGACTGAACTGGCCCACCTGTTGGGGCAGGATTCTCACCTCTGACACTTCCCGGCAGGGTCACTGCCCAGTGGCTTCAAAGAGAGGTCTCTTGAAGGGGGAGCATCCTCCCCCCGCATCGCTCTCTCCCAACTTTTCACCCTGAAAGGGAAATCAAAGCACAGGTCCCCAGGACCCATGATCTGTAGACATGCTGACACGGGGGTTTTCAAACCAGGTGCCGTGGAACCCCTGGTGTTCCACAGAGATTTGCCAGGGACTGCTAAAGTGGGAAGGGAGGGGTGGAGGCGTAGGATAGGTCTCCAGCCCTCCGCCATTACCACTTCCACCAGAACAACTCTGCTTTTGTCTGACTTGCCTACTGAGGTTTCACCTTCAAATTTTCTTTTGGAAAAAAAAAAAAAAAAAAAAGATAATTCTCCAAACCACCATTCGGAGGTTTGATCTTCGACCAGCAAGCACAGGTTCTACTCTTGCTTTTCATGTAGGAATGGCTCTAGCATTCCCGTGCAGACTTGTATTGGAACTTGGGTCACACACTCAGGCCCAAGCATTTGCCGATTCTCTCTCTCTCTCTCTCTCTCTCTCTCTCTCTCTCCCTCTCTCTCTCCCTCTCCCTCCCTCTCTCTCTCTCTCTCTCTCTCTCTCTCTCTCTCTCTCTCTCTCTCTCTCCTCCCTCTCTCTCTCTCTCTCTCTCTCTCTCTCTCTCTCTCTCTCTCTCTCTCTCTCTCTCTCTCTCTCTCTCCCCGTACCCATTTGATGATTTTGTAGCCCCCCACCCTGTGGCTGGGGCTTAGGTTTCATTGGGGCCGCGCCTGGTGCGCAGTGCAGGTGGGTCCTGACCCTGATATTGGCCCCTGCAGCATCGGGGAGTGTGGAGCAAGGAAACAGGCCCAGCCCTCACCCCGGTATGATACCCAGCTCTCCTGGCCCAGGCACGGGGATGACAGAAGGGACAGGGCGATGGGAGAAGACACTAGAGTCAGGGTCCTCTTTACACATAGCCAGGTAGATGCAAGCCCGGGTTTCCTAAAAGAAATGCTGAGACAGGACTTGATAGCAAAATCTCTCCTGTGAGGGCGGGATCTGTCCAGAGACCTTTCAGGCAGCAAGTCACACTTGAGCAATTCTAATTTATGGGCTATGGGGTGTGTGGGCCCAGGAAGGTGCCTGGAGAGAGGCTGGCCCCCTACCTGCAGGCTCCCAAACCCTCTCCCTGCCAGCCTGTCCCTTTCCCCAGACCCCTCATCAGGGCTGAGAGTGGGCACTTTGGTGAGACCTAGACCAGCCCTTGGCACAGAATCCTGTCTGCCCCTGCCCAGGGCATTCTGGGTGGACGTGTGAGGCTTAGGACACTGCCAGCCAGGTGGTGCTCCGCGATCAGCTGAGTGTGTTCTTGGGACCCACCGACCTCAGTTTCTCCTTGTGTAGCATGGGGCTAGGGCCAGGCTCTGCCCACCTCACAGGAATTACAGAAAGTTTCACAGGAGGGACGGGGGGTGGCATCACCTGAGAAGTGGGAGCCTCATGAGCTCGGGTGCGATCGGTCTGTGCCACAGATCAGCAGAGCCCTCGGGGGAACGCGTGCAGGATCGCAGACTCTCTGGAACGTCTGCTCAGTGCTGAGGGCCAGCCACAGACACGGGGCGGGGGTGGGGAGCTCTTCCCACTCAATGGGGGCCAGTGCTCAGCTTGACACAGTGGCTCTGGGAGGGTCCTGGGTGCCGGGAGTGACAGGCGACTGGGACAGGTCCCCAGGTCTGTAGCCCTTCTTTCTGTGACTGATTCTTTTGTGATACCCTCACTCCTGGGCCGCCTGCCAGGTTTATTTGTTGTACCTGTGGCATTCCTTATTATGTCAGATAAGTTATTAAAGTTCATTCAACTCTTAACAGGACAATGAACAAAAGAACAATAAATAGGAGACCATTAAAGCTCTTTTGTGACAGGTGCTGGCTGTGCCTTTATTTCTGCCTCATAAGCAGGACAGAGACCATCACACACTGACCTGTGTCCTGAGCTGGTGGGAAAGGCTTGTGGCTGGGCCAGGCGTTTTCCTCCTCCCCTGGCTGTGGTCCCAACTCCAACCTGGTTTCTGCACCCCTTCTGGGGTCAGTCAGGAAGTTTTCTCCTCCCCCTCTGCCATTTATCAGCCTTATGGCCTTGAGGACGTTGCCAAAACTCTGACCCCTCTCAGACACCCCAGTTTGCTCCTGGCGTGAAGCCATCCCCTCCTCTCGTAGGCACCGCTGACCACTTCATCTGGGGTCTTGCTCAGTCCCAGCCCTGATTCTTGTTCAGTTCCCATCTCCTGCTCTTCTGGGTCTTCATGAAGTCACTTCAGTTTCTCACCACTCACCCTGTCTGCCTGTTCCAGAAGGACCCCTGGGAGGAGTGGGGATATATGTGCGAAAGAGTCTACATGATCATCTGCTGTATTATCACAAAAGGAAGAGGCTGATGAATACAAGACAACTTCCTTAGAAAATGGATTATAGATGAACAGCGAAATCTTACATTCCTGTAAAATAATGTGCAACTTCCCATCAAGGCCTTGCCCTCGGGGTTGGCCAGAAGGTGGTCTGTTTCCTGACGTTCCCTCTCAGCCAGAGAAGGGCAGCAGGGATACTGACCTGTAAATCAGGAGTCCTGAGCTAGAGTTTCCTTCCTGCCCTCCCACACGGACTGTGTCCGTCTGAGTCCGGGTAAACTGAGCCTGTGCCGGTATTTCAGTAGCAGGAATTTAATAGAAGAAGCTGGTTATAAAAATGACACAAGAGTTGAAAAGGTCAAAGGGATGTGAGGCCACCCTGAGACCAGGTAAACGAGAAACCACAACCACTTGTTGGGTGAAAGGCTGGGGAGAGGAGGCGGCATCCTGGAGCTGAGGCACCAGGGCAGCTCAGCAGGGACATTGAGGGGAAGGGGATTTGAAGAATCCAGACCACAAAAGAAACACAGCTATTGCTGCCTGGAGCAGAGAGAGTGGGAGAAACACTCTGGCTTCTCCTCCTCCTGCCCTCCAGTGTCATGTGTGTGCCTCCTATTGGTGTAATCATTACACTATAATGAAAGCTGATTGTCCAGGAATCTTTGGAAATGTAGTCTGTAATGGTCAGAGCCCTGCATGCAATACAGAACAGAAGGTCCGGGGATTAGATTGGAGACCACATCGGCAAATCATGAGCTCTTTCTTACTCTTCTCATCCAGAGAACAGAAATAATCCCATTGGTCTGGGTATCACAAGGTAGGAGTGCCTTCACATCTAACCAGGACTCTAACCATGGGAGAAGGACTTATTTCTCTTAGCTTTGAGCTTTTCTCCTGCGGTCACTGTCTTCTTGATGCTTTGGGACTTCTTTTATCTAGCTTTTTAAGACACTAGCAAATCAAAATAAACTGGGTAGGAGTTTCAAATTCTGGGCAAGAAGAGTAATTCCACTATAGTTTATGTCTCCTACTGATTATATAAAACTCTGGACAAAAATAGAAAACAACTATCTACTGACTGAAAATTAAACAAAAGGAGGAAGATGGTATTGAGGAGTCAAAATTTGGAGAAGTCATTTGTGTGGGCTAAATTTTCCTTTCTTTTCTCTTTTCTCTTGTGGATTTGTGCTGAAATTAGAACCACCACCAACAGAAAGTGAGATAGACTTAAGGCCTGACCTAAATTAGTTTATTGCCACTATAAACAACAACAAAATCAATATTCTATAAAGGATTATAATAGGACTGAGTCTACAAAATGTCTAAGATACAATCTAAAATTGTTCAACATACAAAGAGCCAGAAAAATATGACCACTTCTCAAGGGGAATTAAATCAACATATGCCAACTCTTAGATGACTTAGATGCTGTGATTATTAGAAAAGCTTTTGAAGTAGCTATTATAACCAATTGAGGTGTCTCATATTGATGTTTCTCTCTGTTTCTACCAATCCCTTCCACTCTAAGTATCAATGGAAAATATCCTTGGGCGAGGATTAACAACAAAAATTTGTTTTCTGACAATAACAGAATTAAGTGAACTAGAAACAAATAACAGAAAAGTACCTGGGAAATTAAGAAACATATTTTTAAATGGGTCGGAGAGAAAATTAAGACAATTAGAAAATATTGTGAACTAAATGAAAATGAAAACACAAATAACTAAATGTATGGGATGCAGTTAAATTATTTCAATAGATGCAGAAATGGCATCTGACAAAATTCAATATCCATTAATTTAAAAAAGTCTAAACTTTCTTAATCTGATAACGGACATCTACAAAACACCCACAGCTAACACCATTCTTAATGATGAAAGACCAAATGTTTCTCCTCCAAGGCAAGGATGATTATTCTCAACACATATTTTAACATCCTCCTGAGGGACCTAGCCAGTGCAAAGAGGCAAGAAAAAGATATGGATTATAAAGGAAGAAATAAAATGATCTCTATTCACAGGCAATGCGATTATTTACATATAAAAAAAGAGCTACTAGAACTAATTAGTGAGTTTACATAGGTTGCAGGATACATGATCAATATACAAAAATAATTATATTTCTCTACAGTAACATCAAACAACTGAAAATTGAAATTAAAAAAAAAGATAATTCCAATAAAAAGATAATAGCATCAAAATAGAAACATTTAGGTATAGTAAATATAAAAATTTTGGTCATAATCTCTATGCATATCTCTAAAGTACAAGATGTTGAGAAAAGAAATCAAAGATGACGTAAGCAAATTGAGACATGTACTGTGCTCATGGATTGGAAGATTCAATATTGTTAACATATCAATTCTTTCCAAACTGACTATGAATTCAATGCAATCTAAATCAAGATCTCTACGGGATTTATTTATTTATTTTTTGTAGACATAGACACTCTGATTCTAAAATTTACATGAAAAGCTAAAGAAACTAGACTAGCCAAGCAATTTTATTTTAAATTTGTATTTTAAATTTATTTCAGAGAGGAAGGGAGAGGGAGAAAGAGATAGAAACACCAATGATGAGAGAGAATAATTGATCGCTTCTGCATGCCCCCTACTGGGGACAGAGCCTGCAATCCAGGCAGGTGCCCTTGACCAGAATCAAATCCCAAACCTTTAGTTTGCAGGCCAATGCTCTATTCACTGAGCCAAACTAGCTAGGGCTAAGCAATTTTTATTTTATTTATTTATTTATTTATTTATTTATTTATTTATTGGCCTCAGGAGGCGACCAATCCATGTATCTCTCTCATCTTTCTCTCGCTCTTCCTCTCTCCCTTTTCCTCTTCCTTCCTCCCATCCTTTCTAAAAAATCAATGAGGGCTAAACAATTTTTAAAAGGAAGAACAAAGTTTGAATTCTTCACTACTTGGTCTCAAGACTTACTATGAAGCTACAGTAATCGATAAAGTATAGTAGCCATGAAAGAATAGACACATACATTGATGAAACTAAATCCAAAAACCAGAAAC